ATATAAATCCCCTTGTTTAAGCGAGGGAGAAGGATGAAGCTTCCTGGACGCCTTCTTTGCTTGAACCGCTTTCGAACGATCCGAGAGCCAGGAGCCAGAGTTTTCATGCAAAACGCCTTAGTGGTATTCAAGACACGCCGCTCTCAGCTGGATCGTGAGAAGGCCATCTGCAGGCTTCATTGAAGAGATGGCTGGACTGCTGAATTGACCACCGCCTAATTTAGCAATCCAAGGCGTCTCCGTCGATATGGAGATGGCTTGGTATAAATCATCGCATGTCACCTTGCGTGTGCAGACGCAGGGTTGAAGTGACATGGTGAACGCTCTGCATGCTCTGGCCCCCTTTAAAACCGATAAACGAGGTGGACTGAGCCATGCGAGCGCTAACCCATCCATAGTGCTGATTCTGGCCTCCTTCGCTCTCCCCGCAGAGTGGGGGCGTGGAGGAAGAGGGCCACGGCATAATTAGCCATGATTGCTTTGATTGAGTTCCCCGGTCCAGGCCTGTGTGCTGGTCCTTCAGGGGAACAATGAAGACTGTCAGACCTTTAATTATTGAGTAATTGTCAGTAAGGAATGGCAGTGGTTAGCGATATAAGATTAATACCGTAATCCAGCCCCGAAGTGACATAATTGAAAACAGTGGAAATGTCTCACTGGGCAGGAAGCGTTCGTGGTGTTCGAGTCTCCCGTGGCGAGGTCTGGAAACCCACTGGAGCAATGGAAGTGCACTCGTGTGGAGGTAAAAGGTTTTAGGGATGGAGGGACTCGGGTAAGAGGTCTGTCATGTGTGAGGGAAGGTGGACACATCTTGATCGTGTGTTCGCGAAGACGGACAATAGGCACGGATGGCCAGTGCCGAGTTAAGTAAATTGCCCGTGAGGGATTATTAATGAGTCTGTGTGGATTTGAGGTGAAATAGGCAGCCGTGTGTTAATAAAGCAGTCTATCTCTGTTTAGATTATCTGTACATTAGCAGATTTTCACGACTTGGTTCACGCAAGTGTGTTTAGCGCTGCTGGTGTTGTTGGCAGGTGAACAGAATGAGCATTTAGCTTTGTTTTGTTCAGAGAGAAAAAATACATGGAGGGATTTTAAGGTCACACATGGTGTATTTTTGGGTTTTGAGTTGTGACAGATGCTGGCCTCTGCGCGCCTATTTGAAGAAAGCTCGCCGGCCGAGATGCTTTCAGAACATATACTCTGTGCAATGTGTTTGTAGTGACTGTAGCCATGCTGAGGTTTATCCATGCGCTACTAATGCTAACTGCAAGTGATGGCTCTATGTTTAGCCCATCATGTTTGACTCAAAACATGAAGAACTGTACATCTGGAAGTGTTTTAGCCATGATCTTAAGGCATATTGGCAAAAGCACCAGGTCAACTGCAAGTCAACCTAAGATTCAGCCATGTGTTCATAAGTCATCGATTTTTAGAGGTGGCCGTAATATGATGTTATATAGATAATGGATTGTCACATTGATATTCCCTAATGGAGACTGTCAGGAGCTGCTTACTTCATGGCTAAACAGATAGAGCCTGACTTGTAAGGGTGGTCGGACAATGGCTCAATCATGTGTGAGTAAAGCTGACTTGGGGTAATGGAAGTGGTCAGGCTATGGTTAGCTCATGTGTTTGGAGAGGCAGTTTGGTAATGAGAGCATTCAGGCTTCAGTGACCTCGCAACGCAAGCACTATGGCGGTGTCGCCGCATTGAGCCACACTATCTGGAAGGAGTTTGATTCGGGTCACCGGAGGAATAAGTGAGCCAGGGCAGGAGGAGAGTTCGGCGCAGCAGTGTAGACTCAGGCTAAGGGGATTTTCCTGTTGTAAATGTGCGCATGTACGTATGCCTGCTTTTCTGTGCGAGAACGAGGATGCCGACTGTGTCTTACAAAGCAGGCCAGCCAGAATACAGTATATCACGATGATGATGATGGTGTCTGATTAGGAGTTCCAGATTCGGAGCCTCATCTGTGCTGCTTTTCGTGAGGCTTTAAGCAGACACTGTCCCTGGGGGAGAGTTTATTTACTGTGAAGTGGTGGTCACCACAAGGTGTGTTTGTGTGCGCTCGGGGAATGTCTTAATGCCGTCCTCTGGGGTGGGAGAAAGTAGTCGCAAAGGAAGAGTCTAATGCAAAGGAAGGACCTTGAATTATACAAGTTTTTCACGGGTAAAGCTGGGAATCATAAGGAATGTTGTAATGATTCTGGTTCCTTTAAGATTCAATTTAAGATTCTCTTAGTACTTGAGTAGAATGCCCTGACTTATTCAGTCAGTGCGTGAGTCATTAGACAGATTCAAACCGATAACTAATGAGTTTGAGATGATTTTTTAGTTTTTTTGGTTGATTCATTAAAAAGAACTGAAGAGTCATTAATTCACAAATGTTTTTGTTATGCGCAACCAGAAAGTTTATCGCAATCAAAGGCATTTCTTTGTATTATTTGTGGTTCTCTCATCACATTTAATTCAAACTCAGAACTTCTTTACTTTATTGTGTGTTCCTTGTTTTATTGTTCAGTTTCATGTTTTGTTTTTTAAGAAAAAAATCTTAAAAAATGTTAGGATTTGTAATCCTTTATTTAGTAACATGGACTTCTTCTGACATGATTTTCCTTTTTGAACAAAGTCGTTTAACTATTTAGGCATCACATTCAGGTCTGGCTCCATAATTAAAAGCAACAGAGTGTTATTTTATCATTGTTTTTATACTATTATAGTATTTATTAATATTTAGATTAGATTTTAGATTTTTACTAATTTGATTTGTTTTAAATTTAGTTATTTTTGTCATTTTATTATTGTTTTTTTAAAAACAAAAAAAACAAAAACGGTGAAACAATGGTGGACTGATGACAGCTCACTCAGGGCGGGTCTAAGGTAAGACACCAGTCCAGTCTGTGCTGAAATGCTGCTGTCAATCAAACTATCGTGGGAGGGGCCTGTCAGTGTGACGTCACACAGACAGGCATCTGAGATCGGCTCGATCTGAGAAAGGGGAAAACATTTAACCAGATTTAAAAAAAAAACACTGGGTGGATTTTTATCATTTTAGGGTGGTTGTGTACACACACTGCCAACACACATTTCAGTTCAAACAACTTGTAAAAGTGCATGTAGCATCCTATGACCCCTTTAAGGTTTTCATCAAATATTTTTATTTCAGCTTCAGGTTTTCATGTTTCATTTTATTGCAGATTTATTTCAATTAACAAATAGTATTTTAACTGTTTTAGTTTCACAATCCAATCAATTCCCAATGGATAAAATCATGTACCATTCTTAATTTCTGCTTGTTTAGTACCCTGTTTCACTGGGAATTAGTCACATTGACTTTCAGTAGGAAACACTTTTCTGTCTGCATCAGCAGAACAATGCATATGTTGAAGAATTGTCAACATAATAAAAACTGGTTCTACATTCCCAACAATATTCACCGTGCCATAGAAATATGAGCTATACATAGGTCCATTAGAGAAAGAGACGAATGAAAAAATTTACACCTTTGCTCATTTACATTTATTCTGATTTAAGAGCGAGTGAGGTGTTTATGAAAGTGGTGAAAATTTGTGTTCTCCTGTCTTCAGGTGAGAGTGCTGTGAAAATAAAAAGACAGAACGAAGGGCAAAAGAAGAAAGATAGTGAAGGGTAGAGCAAGGTAGCGCAAGACAGAAGTGTCCGTGCTGTGACGTCAGCCCTGTTACTGTGATAAATCAGTGCCTTGGCTCCATGTTTAGAGTGATTATGCAGAGTGCCATCATGCGAATGTGCTGGCCTTTATTCCTTCACCCCATACATATACTTCTCTTTCTCGCTCTCTCGGGTTTCTCAGTGATCCTGTGCAGGCCTCTACAAATAAGGATGGCCTAATGGCCCGGGGCAAGTGTAAGAGAGTTTTGAGCCAGTCGACGGAACTGTCAGTTTCCCTATCAGGCCAGTGCCGCGCTGTCACTGCACATTACATTTGTTGAGCTTCTACATGTGTTTTTATGCCTTGTAAACTTAAACATTTGGATTTCTGACATGTTTTACACATTGTTGGTGTGAATTCTGCTAATTTAAATATGTTATTTAGCAAGTGAGGATCTTGGAAGCATCCTTTGAAAATGGGTAGAAACTTATATATTTTTATAAATTTATTTATTTATAAGGTGTTTTCTTCCATGAGAAATGTATTAATTTATTTGCTGTATTAATTTATTAGTTTTTTTTGTTGTTGTTACAAAAAAATTAAAATATGTTTAATGAAAAATGTAAATATATTCTGGTGCATATTAAAATATGTGACTAAAATAACTATTTGTTTAATTGTGGGGATAAAAGTAAAAATCTGACTCAGCCAACCCAGTCCAAAATAATAATAATAATTATTATTATTATTATTATTATTATTATTATTATTATTATTATTATTATTATTATTATTATTATTGGCTGTTTAAACATGCAGGTCTGGCTTCATAATTTAATGCGATACAGCGTTATTTAGTATTATTAATACATTATTATAGTGTTTATTCATATTTTAAATTAACTTTTATTTTAGTATTTTCATTTTTTGTGTTTTATTGGTTTTGTATAATTCTGTTTTGCTTTTTATTTTGGTTTTAGTTGTAGCATTTTGAAAATACATTTATCTGCTGTCATACTGGAATGTTTTGTCACAAAAAATATTTGAATGAAAAACATATATATTCTGATACATATTAAAATATGTGGCTAAAAATAGCATAGCTATTTATTTAATTGTGGGGGTGCCAGTATAAATGTTGGCAGTGCAAGTAAAAATCTGACCGGAAAAAAAAAAAAAAAAAAATCTTAATACTGAGCCCTGTTGTGGGTGTTGGAAGTCTACAGAGAGTTGACTCAGGTGTGTGGATTTATTTATTTCATTAAGTTGCCCGTTCGTTAATTATTTGGTCGACCTTGTCATCTCTCCCTGTGTAGATACGGCCCTATGTAGCAGCAGTGGCAGTGCTGAGAGAGAGACAGGGAGTCCCAGGTGGGGTTCTGAATCCCTAGAGCAGAGTGATGGAGCCATCCCAGCCACATAGCCTCGGAGTTGGGCTACGGTCATCAGGAGCTCATGTGATGGTGACATGCAAGATGGTGAGTGAGCCTGTTACTATAGCAACCCCAGGCTCTCAGAGCGTGCTTCCATTTCACCCAGTGTGGGAGAGAATGATGGAGAGAGAACATTGAAGAGAAGGCTGCCAGGAGCTATAGGGAGTTTCGGAAGGGTCTGGAGAGCAGAGAAGGAAAGAGCGATGCTCTGGTGTTACTAAGATGACTTCCTGGGGTGGGCATTTGGAGATGAGGTGTGGGCAACTAAAGTTAATATAAGAGGAAATAAAATTCAGTTGAAGAAAATTGTTAAGTTTGCCATGAAAAATGATTTTACCATTACCAAATTGGTGAAGCACTACTGTTGCAGTCCAAATTATTCACTCAAATACTCACCTATCACTTTGTTTTAAAAACTGGACTGGATTTGTTGGTCTAGAGGTAACAGGGCTCAACAGTATGTGGGGCCCTATGAAATCCATTTTATTTTTTTTTCCCAAATTCCATTTTATTTTTTTCCAAATTCCAAATGTTTCCATTTTAATTTATCTGGATTCCATTTTTTTCCTGTTTCAATTTTTCTAGACTCTTGTTTTAATGGTTAAATAAAAAATATGAATAAAAACACGTCTAATTAATCGAAATCATGAAACTTGTGCAATTTATAATGACAATTTATTAAATGTTTAACAAAAATTACTTTTTTAAGGTTCTATGAAATACATTTTTTCCCTCAAATTCGGTTTTATTTTTTACCAAATTCAGCGTTTTCCATTAACTTTCTGTATTCCATTTTAATGGTTTCATTAAATTTTAATAATCAAAAGCACTTCAAATTAATTGATTTTATATATAAAAAAATTATATTATGGGCTTTTTTTCAGAAATACTGTGTTGTGTATCTACATTTTTCTGGTAAATTATGTTTCTGGTAAATATTAATAATTATTAAAAAATAATTTCATTAGTAGTAGTAGTACTATCATTATATTAAGTAATATATTTCTGTCACAGTTTCTTCAAGTTAAACCGAACTTTTATTTTGACAGGTTGCTGGGAGGACCTTAAAGTTTCAGTTTGTATATGATGTGATGGTAGTTTTTCTAAAAAGAAACAAATGCTCATGTAGTGACTCTCAGGGTAGTTCTAGATATTATGTTTATGTGTTTATGTACTCATAAAATGAGGCGGCAAAGGCTGAAAACACCGTGACCTACAATGACCTACTTTGGATTTATTCATCCAAAATTTGGCAAATTCCGTGACATTCCGCTTTATACGGTAAATTTCATTTTTAAATTTCATTTCATTTCTGCATCGCAGAAATCATTGGGCCCTAAATAAGGATGGCCCGATGGTTCAGGACCATTGTGAGAGAGTTTTGGAACTTTAGTATCAGTGCTGCTTTGCCACTGAAAATCGTACATTCGTTGATGAAGTACAGCCATTTTATACCTTACAAACCTTGCAAAAATGTGGTCTTCTACAATATCGTTGCAAATTCTGCTGATTTGTCACATAGACAATGTTACCTAACTGGCTAACATAGATAAGCTTTTGTCGAAATTGCAAAAGTGACCCTGTGATAATTTTGAACGCTTCAGTATGAATTGCATTCTGTATGTCATTGTTTTACATTAAAAGTGTGTTTGTGAATTTGTCAAGTTACATTGAAGCTGTATGATTTTTAGCTTTTTATAAATATTCCTTTTTTAAGAAAAAAGTTTTTAAATGTAATAATTTAATGATTCATTGAGGTGCAGGTGGAAATGTTGGCATTGGAAGTTAAAATGGGAAAACTACTTTAAAAACGACAGAAAATAATCCATAACATTGAGCCCTGGATAAGGTTTTTACTTTGACTATGGGGAGTCTTATGTTTAAATCCAGTTTTCCTGTATTAATTTGCATACTTATCTTCGTTGAAGGAAAACTTTATATTAAACTATGCTTAGTAGGTTTTAAAACAACCACACGGGCCGAATTGAAATGCTTGGACTGAGCTGTCATTATGCAGCGCTGACTGTCGACACTTGCATAGCCAATAATCAATTGGGAAAAATGTACAAGCTAAAGCTAAAACTGTAATTTAATTGATTTTCTATTGGGTGGTAAATAAGCCCGTCCGTAGCCACGCCCCTGAAGTGAAGGCCAAGGAGGGCTGGAGAGAAAGTTGAATGAGAAAGGAGGGAAACAGAAAAGAGGACGGACAGAGATGAATACGTCCACCTGCAAAACAGTGCAACAAGCTGACAGGTTCGCATGAGGGAGGAGACCTCCAAAGAAACACTGCAGCATTGGCTGTCAGATAAACACAGCTTTTCTTCTGCTCTCCTCTGTTCATGTCCATCCCTCTCTGCTGCTTCACTCGCTCACGTTGATTCTGATGGCACTGCACTGAGAGAGACATGGTGTCTGTCTCCACGGTGACAGGTATCCATGGAGACATCCATCAGTTAGTATGTGTCAGCGTTTCCATGGGGATGTGGATCTGGGGGTGTTTGTCAGCGAGTTGTGCGTCGCACTCTTATCATGTTTGTCATAGATGCTGTTTATCTGTGTATGTATTAGTCATGGTGTCACTCAGGGTGTGGGGTGCAGCCTTATGGCCTTCTAAGACTGTGACCAAAGTGTGTGTGTGTGGGTTCAAAAACTTTAAAACCTTTCTATTCTGGTTTAATGTGCAGTGGACACTACAAGTACTCAAGTAAAGTCACATTTATTTATCTAGTGCTTTACACAATACTGTAATAAACAGGAAAATAAGAGAATCCATAGCTATGTTTCCATCCAGAGTTGCGAATTTAACTTTTGTGCAAAACTGGAATATCACATGAAACATTTGCAAATAAAGCACCGTATCCATCCATTGAGATGAAGAGAAAAAAACGTTAAATTTCTGATAAACTGGGGCCAAATTCAGAATGACAAAAACATAATTTCAGATGCTGTGCAATAAGATTGATCCGCTGGTTAGTCCAGTTATGCCGTCCCATCACACAAAATCACGTGAATATTTTGATGTGCATTGAGGAGCTTACTTGGTCATTTTATTTCCATCATAGTTTATGTTTTCTTATTGGATAAAAAATGTATCCGCCTGAATTGAGTGTGTAAGTTTTTTTACCCACACAGTTTTGGGAATTTATGTACATCTTAGCTTTTCCTTTCAACATTTTGTTATGCGATATCCCAAAATGAACATAAAAATTGGTGGATGGAAACATAACTTATGACGCAAATTTAAATTCTGGTCTAAAAAAAAAAGACAATAGTGTCATTATTCAACTCAAGTCAGTTTAGTGTTGATTCAGTTCAATGTGGCAAATTTGGAACCCTGTTTGGAAACAATCATTGGTTTTGAATTTCCTGTTTGCTAGTGGTGAAATTACAAACTTAACTCTCGAAGGGATAGTTCTCCCAAAAAAGTCTGACATCATTTACTCACCCTGTGTTTCAAACTGTTTCTTCCATAAAATGAAGCCAGTGGGGTCCAAAACAACATTGGACTCTGATGACTTTCGTTGTATAATATAGACAAAAACATTCTTGAAAATGTCTTTTCTGTTTTACAGAAGAAAGAAAGGGAAAGACATGAGGGTTAGTAAATGATAGCAGAATTTTCATTTTTGGGTGAACTATTTGGTTAAACTCTAATGAATGATGGCTCATATAAATAAACTCACCAACATGTTTATACAGAAAACAGAATCAAGCACACACACTTACACAAGTGCCAGCAGAAGCATTGATTTCACAAGAGGATGCATCCACACCCCACTGACCGAGACATACAGAGTCTGCATGGTTCTAGCCCGCAGAGCCACATGAAATCACAGGAGCGAGAGGAATGAGAAAGAGAGAGAGGTGGTCAAAAGTGCTGAAGTAAGTTTTCACAGAAGGCCCTGGAAACACGGATCGCTGAGATGAGCTGGCAAGGCTGCGGCTGCACCGCCACTGCAACAGTGTGATAGTTTACATGCTTCTGTAAATGGCTGAGAGACACTCTGATTAATGGCTGCTGCGCTGCTCCCCTCCCAGCCAAACAGGAATCAAGTGTATCAACACTTTTAGCACTGCAAAGTGCCAATTAATTGTTTGCCATAAGCACGTGTATATATGTCTCACAACCTAGGGGTGTTTCGCTTCACAAATGCTCTTTTATTGCAGAGATAGTCAAGTGGAGAAAAACTTTGGCTGCATTACCCCAGCAACAGCATAGAGTAAACTAGAATAGGAAAGTTCGGCAAGACTAACAAAGTCTCGCCTGAAAGTTTAAAAAGCCTTGAGGACTGAACGTTGTTTAGGCCTCAATTTTTTTAATGAAAGATAGATAGATAGATTTTTTTTAATGTGTTTTGTTTTATTTTCTTAAAAAGGAACTAAATGCATTCGTGTCAGCTGCAAAAAAAAAAAAAGATGAATTGCCAATATTTTACCTTATTGCCTTACATATTTTGAATTATTTGCATAATATCTACATAAAATATAATTTTGTTGCATCAGCGTTTTCTGGGGCAGAACTAGCCTTAAGGTAAAATTGTGAGTTTCATGATTTAGAAAATACAGCGTACTGAATCAGAGTAGCCTAAGCAACTGTAGCTTGAAAGCTTTTGGAAATACTGTCAGAAATTTTCAATGGAAGTCTGTGGGATATTTTATCATTCACTAGTAAAACTAGTGAACAGGTTGAAGGACTGTGCCCAGTTTAGTGGCTATAGCTCTGTTACATGAGGAGTGAGCAATAATAATTGGCTTACAGTTCACTTTGTCATATATACTACACATTCTAGCAGTAAGATCTAGTTTTTGAATGAACCCCACAATAGATTAGTTTAAATCAGTAATCCTTTAGATAAACTTAAAGACTGGGAATACTGTTTAAAAGGAAGAGTTCACCCAAAAATGAAAATTCTGTCATCGTATTTGTGTGAATGATCTCTTTAGTTGCACAAGGCTTTAAATTGTTCTCCATTACTAAGACCTTACTTTGGCACTGACTTAAACTACTGTATGCGTTTACACAAAAGTTTGGGGTCAGTTTT